CTTGACAACCCCACATCAAGACCGCAGCAAACAAGGCTCGACAAAAAGCTGCCTGGGTTTTCAGTGTCTTTCAGACAAGATCTCCAGTCATAATGCTTACGCTTTACAAGTCGATGGTTCGTAGTTTACTGGAATACTGTTGCCCGCTATGGCACCCCTCCAAGATATGTGACATCCAGGAGCTTGAAAGCGTACAGAAAGCTTTCACCGCAAGGATTACTGGAATGCGTGATCTCCATTATTGGGACCGTCTTCAACGGCTATCTCTGATGTCTCTACAGCGTCGCAGGGAGCGGTTCATTTTACTTCATATGTGGAAGATTATCCATCACCATACCAGCAACGACATTAACGTGCAGTTTGTCTCCAGGCCACGTTTTGGAAACCTTGCAGTCATTCCATCTGCATGCAGACACAGCTCATCAGCAAATCAGTCACTGTATGATAATTCATTTGCAGTCATAGGCCCAAAATTGTGGAATGCAATGCCTTACCATTTGAATTCCATCGGCGACCGAGAGCATTTCAAATCGCAGCTCACCCAGTTCATGCTATCTCTTCCGGATACACCGCCCATCAGTGATCAGGGGATACACTCCTCAGAACTCAAACTCGCTGCTTTGCTGGAGGAATGACAGAGAGATCTCCTCTCTGTGGGGTGGTCACACAATGTGATGGCCCTGTATTAAAGCTTAAAGAATCTCAACATAGGTGACATAGGTAGGTAGGAGACGCTGCCTCAAGTTTTAGCCAAGATTCTGACGGTCCAGTCTCTTGGTGGAGCAACTTCGGTTGCGAGGTACCCGAACTCGGAACTACAGAGTTTTGCAATGAAAGCGCTGTCGCAATCGACATCAGCCTCACCCTGTGAGACGAATTGGAGCTTGTACGACTGGGTGATAAACAAAAAAGAAACCGCCTCACAGTTGACAAGCAGCGAGACCTTATTTATGTTAAGTTTAACACAAGTTTGCGTCTTATGAACAATTCACGAATTAAGGAGCAATAATTTCATTATTATTTGCTTATTGCTATACTAGTGACTTATTTTTATTCATTATTGTTTATTTACTGTCTAATTCGGAATTAGTAATTCCGACAACATGGTCTTATCTTATTGTATCCATTTAAAGTTAAAAACGGACATTAAAATGAACGCTCGGAGCCCGGAGGCATTCAAACAACAGCAAGCAGGGAGTTATCCATGCAACATATATACAACGCTGACCCAGAATGGATATGCCACGGTACCACTATAATATTTGCTTCGATTCTCCGTGATACTGATAGCACTAGCAGTAGCAGAATTTGCTGCTTGTAATTCCTGGGCGTTGCTGAACCTGTCATTCCGCCCTATCTGCTATAGGCATATTTTTAATCGCCATAATATGTTCAATGTTAAATCAATGTGTTTAACTTAATAAATACAAAAGCCTGAGCGAGGTACCGTACCCAGGTAAATTCATCTTCGTCGAATTTGCGTTCCTGAAACCACTCTCTGCGCTGGTAATTGTTTTTAAAAGGGAACACAAATTCAAAATGATGTACGTGACCAAAATTATTCCCCGCGCGACGCGCGATTAGATTCTCTTTCAGTTTCACTCATTCAGTTTCTGGGTACTTCGCGCGTAAAATCATATTCGCACGTGTGCGTTCCATGTTCTCAGAATGAGGCAACGGTAAGTTTAATCTTTAACTTTAACTGTTTGGAAACAGGTGTTAGTCAATATTTTGATAATTTTATTTTGATAATTTGTTGGATAGTTTTTAACTTTAGATGGATACAATGAGATGTTGTCGGAATTAGACAGTAAATAAACAATAATGAATAAAAATAAGTCACTAGTATAGCAATAAGCAAATAATAATGAAATTATTGCTCCTTAATTCGTGAATTGTTCATAAGACGCAAACTTGCGTCAACATAAATAAGGTCTCGCTGCTTGTCAACTGTGAGGCGGTTTCTTTTTTTGTTTATCACCCAGTCGTACAAGCTCCAATTCGTCTCACAGGGTGAGGCTGATGTCGATTGCGACAGCGCTTTTATTGCAAAACTCTGTAGTTCCGAGTTCGGGTACCTCGCAACCGAAGTTGCTCCACCAAGAGACTGGACCATCAGAATCTTGGCTAAAACTTGAGGCAGCGTCAGTAGAGAATAAGCCTCTTTTCTCTCGGTAGAACGTGTACTGCGAAAGTATCTTCTTCTTTGTTGCGCCGTCACACCACGTGTACCTACATGACATCTAGAAACTCCTTCCAGACATCCTGATTCGTGTGTTGATCATATCCTTGATATATAAGCCGGGTGAACAAAAAACCCTACTGAATGTAGGGGGGAATGGAGCTCGAGCCACCTTTTGTTGGCAAAACTAACCATATCACTTTTATGGTTTCAATTGCGAAAAGCAAAATTTGCTAACTTTAAGCTGAACAAATAATATTTCAATTTGTAATAAATTACACCGATGAAACCAACAGGAATCTTAAGACTATTGTCTGAAAATCTAAGCAAGACTATTATCGGCTCGAGAATTGAGCATAAATAGTCGCGACTTCTATCCAGAAACACTAGCGGAGTTTTAGGGCCTGAAACGTGCATGCATGCGCGCTAAAACTCTTCTAACTCATATAGAACATGTAAAATTGCGGGAAACGATACCTAGCGTATTAATATTTTAAATTCTTATGTTCCGAACGTTAAAATCTTTGAGCGAACGCGTTCACAAACTATTTTTAGTGAACGTTCCGTACGAATTCACTACAACTAAGCTATAAGGGCAAAATCATCGATTAGAGGCTTTTATCTTATAAAGAGTGAACGTGAAACAGATCCTGTTGCACGGTGGAGAAATAGATTTAAAACCAAACTAGCAACTTTTCTATTATGAAATCGTTCAGTAGGTGAAATTTATTGTTATTAATTTTCACTTGTCAGATACGTAAAAGCACACATCAATCTTGCCGTTAGGCGTTAAGGTAGGAGAAGTAAGCAAGCTGATAAGAGACAATAAAATTACAAACGAATGCAATCAGCAATTAGTGTGCGGCGTGAGGTATATCTACTTAAATTTTTAGTGCCGACTTCAGCTTCAATGATATCACCGCGCACCGTTAACATATGGACATCACCATTCTAACTCCGAAAAGTGTTATACTTGTAGTGATAATATTTGGTAGAATTTGGTCCAGGACAAGCTATTACATTTTTTGCTGCGCTCCGATCTATCACAGCAGTTTTCCTAATACCGTAGAGAAGTTTTTTTTATTAGCAAATAAAACTCGATTACTAGACTCCTAGCCTGATACGAACTAAATTAAAAATTGCTCATAACGAACTTATCATCTTATCATAAATAAAAATAAATGCTGTTAACTGTGAGCTTTTGCTGGTCCCATGAATATAATTCAATGGATATGATATAAATATTCATATACTTGCACATTTACGAGTCTTCTGAATCTATTACACAATACACGACTTCTCATTTCATAATTCATATCAAACATTTCTATACTCATGCGAGAAAAAAATACTTAATGTCGAAACTAACACAAGCAGTCATATTGCCGTGTTGTAAAACGGCCGACCGTTTACTACAAGTACAGTTAAGTCAAATAAAATCAAAACATAGTTTTAAAAAACGTATACGCTATCTGCAACATTTGACATCTACCGCAAAGTGCACAGTCTGGTTTAGTCAACAATGCAGCTCTAAACGCTGCAGACTTGCTATTATATAAACTAGCAGGAACCCGTATAACCCTAAAATGGTGTCAAGACTCAAGAGACTGAGATAATTATTACCTATTTAATTCGCGTTTTTGACACCACTTGGGGGTTCAAATTTTGGGCTCTAAAACTCCTATTCCTTGGCCAATTTTTTGTTTTTTCATGCTGATTTGAAAAGCATAAAAGCATTTGACCCAGTCAAAAAAGTTTCAGTTGTATATCTTTTACGGTTTTTGCGGAAAGTCGCGTTAAAGGTGATGCCGTGGTGTCAGTAAAATGGCACAGATATATATATCTATATCGTCTCGCTTTATATATAGTAAGATGATGAGCGCTCGATTTGAAATCCCGACGCGCATAAAACTGCCACTAACTGCTACAAACTGCCACTAACTGCCACTAACTGCCACTAACTGCTACTGTCGCGCGCAAATGCGTGGGCGCGATTGTAGCAGTTAGTGGCAGTTAGTAGCAGTTAGTGGCAGTTTGTAGCAGTTAGTAGCAGTTTGTGGCAGTTAGTGGCAGTTAGTGGCAGTTAGTAGCAGTTTGTAGCAGTTAGTGACAGTTTCTTTGCACTTAGCTCCTCCTGTGCCCCTACACCTTTTTGCCGCCCCCTGAAGCAACAATGGTACCACAAATATTTTTTTCACGTCGACCGAACGCTAAATTCGACAGGGTAGTACACCAATAAGGCGCTTTTTCCGTGAAATCAGTCCTACAATCCAGGAAAATGCCGCCCCCCTAAGGTGCCACCCCCCTGCTAGCAGGGTTAGCAGGGGCGGTTGTTACGCCACTGGCGCTTGCATTGTATTTATAAAAACTAGAAATTAGGCTTCACGGTAAAATGGAGAAGCAGACTGATCTTGGAGAGAGCAGACCGTAAAGTTTACGCACCCACCAGGGCTACCTACCTACCCCAGTTGTTTTTTTGGTTTATCAGCTTGTATTGTTATATTTATGAACCCCAAGTCACCACACTATAAAGTAAAATACTAGTTACTTTAATAGTTCAAACGGTTGGGAATATAATATTGTTGGTATTGGTATCTGCTGCAGCAATAATATCGATATGTCATTTGTCTAAAAAATCTTTGCCACTTCAATAGATATTGGGTCGGCAATTTTGTGAGTGAGTGATGAACTGGTTTGGTCTGTGACTGAGTGAGGGGCATTGTGAAAGTTGTGTTAAGTCCAGGTATTATTATTGTTGATGGATTGGGATCCTAGTTTAAAAAATTGTTAATAATAAAAACTCATTCCTTTATCTTTTAGCAATGATTTACTAACTGCATAATGAAGCCATACCCAGTTTGGGTTGAACAAATTCAAGACAAAGATAAAGCAGATGAGCAAGATTGCATTGTTTATGGTGTTGCTGCTAAACCAGATGGTTTGTGATTTTTCATGTTCCCTTTTTTCTACAAAGAATAATCCTGAAATTTCAGGAACAATTTTCTAACAGTTTGATAGATTATATATACTGGTCAGAGTATGCTAAGGGAACTGATATCCCTTGTGTATTGCAAACACATTACTGTTATAGCCTTCTATAAAATATTGTCCATTACCCAGCCTTATCTTACAAATCTGTTTTCAGGGACAAAAGTAATTGCAGCAACGAGTAACTTTGTTCGGGTGTACAATGCTGTGAATGGAGAGTTTATTGCTCCTTTGAAAGGTCACAAAGATGCTGTTTATTGTGTTTGCTACAACAGAGATGGCTCTCGCTTTGCATCAGGTAAGTTAAATTGAGTCATGCTGTAATTTGCACTATTGTTGTATTGCTTAGTATGTATAATTTGGTATTGAGCCTAATGAATCAACGACCAAGTCTGTTTATTCTAATGTTACATATTATAAATTTTAGTCGATTATTGTTATTAGACACCAAGCTGTGTTTCTTAAGTCCCATACACTAACTGTTCAGTTTAATCGGTTTGTTTTTCTAAATTATAAACATGAGTAGCAATATCCCGTTCCAATGTTTAATAATCATATTATGAAAGAATAAATTTAATTTAAAGCAGGTACTAATCTCAATATTTGAACGACTGTTTGTTACAGGAGGAGCAGATAAGACTGTTATAATCTGGACAGACGAGTTGGTGGGTATCCTCAAGTACCAGCATAACGAGGCAATTCAATCAGTTTGCTACAACCCTGTAACCAGCCATCTCATCAGCTGTACCTCCATCGACTTTGGTATCTGGTCTCCTGAGCAGAAATCAGTAATAAAACACAAGGTTTCTAACAAGATAACCACAAGTAGTTGGACTAAGGATGGACAGTACGCTGCGCTGGGTTTCTACTCTGGTCAAATCAGCATCAGAGCACTTAAAGGAGGTGAGAACCAAATTAGCAACTCGACACTTTTAATTGTTCATAACTGCTATAATATTGTAAAGATTGTACTTTATTGACTGATACGCTTCACCCTCTCACATTTGTTGCATAATTCTGCACTGACAATTATACCCGTTCTGTACTTAACATACATTACTGAAATTCATTTCGGCCGCTACTGTATTGTAAATATAATATGCACAGCTTCTAGCTGCTATTAATACTATCAATGTACGATTATAAATTTTCGGAGTTTGACAACTTTATACTCTGCGTAATAAAATCTCACTATTATTTATTTGACTGATTCATTAAACTTGATAGAAGAAATATCTCAGGTGAAGAACGTGTGAAGATAGACCGGCCCGGGGGAGCACCAATCTGGTGTATAGCTTGGAACCCTGCCAAAACAGAGGCAGTTGACATAATGGCTGTGGCTGATTGGAACCAGAAACTCTCATTCTACCAACTAAACGGCAGACAAGTTGGGAAAGACAGACATCTGGGATATGATCCAGGTTGCTTGAGATGGTATCCCGGGGGAGAGTATCTGCTAATTGGGGGGTCTAACAAAGAAGTAGGTCTCTACACCAAGGAAGGGATCTACCTCACTAAGATAGTGGATATGGGATCCTGGGCCTGGTGTGTGGATGTGTTCCCTTCACAAAACTACATCATTGCTGGCAGTCATGACGGATCTATCAAAGTGACTCAACTCAACTTTAACACTGTACACGGACTTTATAAAGACCGTTACGCCTTCAGAGAGAACATGACGGATGTTATCATACAGAATCTCTTACAAGACCAGAAAGTGAAGATAAAGTGCAGGGATTGGGTTAAGAAAGTAGCTATCTACAAGTTCAGATTAGCAGTACAACTACCTGATAAGATAATTGTATACGAGCTGTATTCGGATGACGTGTCCGACATGCATTATCGTGTAAAAGACAAAATCATGCAGCGTTTTGACTGTAATCTGCTTGTCGTCACCGCACATCACATCTTGCTGTGTAAAGACCACAGATTGCAAGCTTATGCTTTCAGTGGTGCTAAGGAAAGGGAGTGGGTGCTCGAAGCAAATATTAGGTACATCAAGGTTATCGGAGGCCCTCCTGGTAAAGAGGGATTACTGGTTGGGCTACGAAGTGGACAAGTTTTGAAAATATTCGTAGACAATCCCTTCCCAATGCTGATCATCAAGCAGCCACAATGCATTAGATGTATTGACATTAGTATGGGACGTGACAAACTCGCAATAATTGACGAAACACAGACATGCTCCGTGTACGATATCAAGACAAAGAAACTGCTCTTCCAGGAACCGAACGCGACCAGCTTGGCATGGAACACGCACAACGGTGATATGATGTGCTTCTCTAGTAACGGTTATCTGAACATTAAAGCGAGCAACTTTCCCGTCCATCAGAGAAAGATGCAGGGCTATGTAGTAGGGTTCTCAGGAAGCAAGATATTCTGCTTACAGAACCTGACTATGCAAGCTGTGGACGTACCCCAAAGTGCTCCAATGAATCAGTATATTGAAAAGAAAATGTTCCACACTGCTTATAATGTGGCGTGTTTAGGAGTAACTAACAATGACTGGTTGAATTTAGCTAATGAAGCACTGGAGAATTTGAACCTGGAAGTGGCTAAGAATGCGTTTACAAGAGTAAGAGAGTTGCGGTATTTGGAGTTTATCTCTAATATCGAGGAGAGAAAGCAATCTAAAGCAGCTGAAACAACAAACAATCTAATTCTTGCTGACTACTATGCTTTTAAAGGCGAGTTTCAGGAGGCAGCCAAGATGTACAAGAAGTCAGGTAACGAGGACAAGGCCATGGCCATGTTCAGTGACCTGCGACAGTTTGAAAACGCCAAGGATTTCCTTACCTCCTCAGATCCTAAAAACATAAAAGGGCTGATAAAGCGACAAGCAGAGTGGTGCAAATCTACCAACGATCCCGGCTCTGCTATAGACCTGTTTATGGCAGCTTCAGCGTTCACTGAAGCTATTGAAATAGCGGGCAAACAGAAATGGCCAGATAAGTTGGTGGAAATAATGAGACAGCTTGACAAGTCATTTGTAGAGGAGCTGAGGGGTTGTGCCCTACATTTCAAGGAGCTGGGAAAATATGAGTTTGCGGCTGAGTCTTATCAGAAACTTGGGGAACTGAGTTCATTGGTGGAGTTGTACATTGAGTCTCATCAGGTAAATTTTATGACTCGGACATGGTTATAATTAACTTTCAACAATTAATCGGCACATGGATTGATAGGTCTTTTCATGTTCTTCAGATTAACTTAATGGCAACTTATTACAACCCTTTAAAGGTAACAAACTCTTCAGTGGCAAGAAGCCTTTACTTTATGTGAAGATCACCCAGAATTCAAGGAATCTGTGTACATTCCTTATGCGAACTTCTTAGCTGAAAACGATAAATTTGACGAAGCTCAGGAGGCTTACTATATAGCTGGTTTGTTGATAAATTCTTAAAACTACTTAACATTAGTTTAGGAGCTTATTTACGATATAAATTTGGGGCTATCTGATTTAATTGCTCTTTCGGTGAATTATAAATACTATGCACATTTCAAGGCTTAGCACCGAACGTTCTGTAAATAAACAGTTTATAAAATTGTTCAGGTAAGCCCACGGAAGCGGTGAAGGTATTGGAAAAGCTAACACACAACGCTGTTGCGGAAAGGAGATTCGATGATGCTTCTTATTACTTTTGGAAACTGTCCATGGCGTATCTAAAGCTGGCGAACCAGGCACAAACCAGAGGTACACGTTAGTTTTATACTCCGTATTATATTTTATTGGATTCTTTTGTTTTCTATTGCAATGCACAACACATCACGCACAACGACCGAATGGTGCGAACATAGATCAGTATCTCAGGCAGTGTAGATGTTAATAAATACTTGAATGTGCGATGGAGTAAATGTAATATGGCATGGACGAAGGGAAAGGGTACTTATACTGGGATTAGCGACGTGCTTCATGGTAATCTCACAGTAAAGCATCGTTTTGGTTTATCTAGGAATTCTCGGAGCCTTATCTTTTGCTTTAGTTGAACTAGCCGACTGTTTTATTTGTATTGTGGTTTCCGTTCTGCAGTCGAGCTCTGTCTAGAAAACAGGACCAGCAAATTGTAATACACAGTTACAGCTCGATCTTTGTTGAGCACTTTTGCTTCAAATGCACATCTTACTACTGGTTAAAGTCACGTGCACTGTCTAGATTACAAATGTTTGCGACGGGAAGAGCGCGAGAGCTTTACTTGTGAACCTTAAAAGTCACAATCAAGTATTGAAGTCTGGTGTTGTTAACTAATTATTGGCCTAATTAACCTATATTACCAGGAAGCGAAGAAGAAGTAAACCAGTATTTGGACAAGTTCCAAGATTACCAGCACCGTGCAGAGATGTACTACGTGTACCAGACCCTACACCGGTACACCGAGGAGCCCTTCACGTCACACCTTCCTGAGGCACTGTTTAACATGGCACGCTTTCTACTTCATAACTTGTCACAGGAAATTCCTTACGGTAATTAGTAATTACATCTTGTGGTTTCATTTATCGATTTGCTCTTTTTTGAAACACTGACTATTGACGTTCAAGCTTGTAAGCTTGTTAATTAAACTGCTGCACTGTATCTTATTTTAACATGAGTACTGAGTAATCTCACGACGTATAACTTTCAGGAGTGTCCAAAGTGTCGATACTGTATGCTCTAGCGAAACAGAGTAAGAACATGGGTGCATACAAGATGGCTCGCCATGCGTTTGACAAACTACAACAGCTGGTCATACCACGCAGATTCCAGCAAGCGATTGACCTGAGCAGTATCACAATTCGATCCAAACCTTTTCAGGTTAGAATTATTTTTTTTTTCACCGCAGAGTTTGTCAGTTTCAAATTTGTTGGTTTGATCTTTTTAGTGTGAAAAATTCTCAATAAACCTTTCATTCCTCAGGACAAAGAGGAGTTGCTACCAATGTGTTCCAAGTGTTCTACAACTAACCCACTTCTAAACCAAATGGGAAACCAATGCATCAACTGTCAACAACCATTCGTACACTCATTTTACGCTTTTGAAGTTTTGCCCCTTGTCGAGTTCATCCCTGAAAATGGTATCAGTGATTTGGAAGCGGTAAAACTGATCAATCAAGATCCCCCGACAAGTGGTGGCAAGGGATGGCAGGAATCAAATCAAGGAGATGTTCAGACAATGTCATTCGAGAATCCTAATGCGTCGCGATACGAGGAAGGTGATACTTTTGAGACGAGATTACAGAATTGGGAATCTATGACGTCATACCAACCAGTGGAAGTTGGTCCGGAAATATTGAAGAAGATGCCGAGATCAGAAGTTGTTGTTCTGAAGTGGGGCTCGCCACTGAGATATCAGTTTTATAAGAACTTAATGCCTGATATCATTTTGGATACCTGTGACAGTTGTAACCGTATCTTCTATGCTGATGATTTGGAGTTACAATATCTCCAAAAGCAAGCATGTCCATTTTGTAGGAAGAGTGTTGCTCAGCCTGAAGCAGCTGTAGCTGAATAAATATCTTCTTTTTGGGGTTAAACGGGGAAGACTTTGGAAGAGTGGAATTTGTTGAAGTTCCGATGTATTTTGAAAATGTGTAATTATGTCGACTCTGTAAATTAGATATTTGTATTTTCATCTGTACCTGGTTGATCCAGTTTATTTTGAGTAATTCTGAGATCTCGTCACTTTTTTGTTGTTAGAGGCGGTCACACATTTTTATGTAATTTGCGTACGCGGGAATGTTAAAATTATAAATAAACGTTTTAACGCAAACAGCTTGTATAGCGTTTTGCGCGCGCGGCGGTTTACTTGTGCGCGTTGTGAAATTCACCATGGCAACTAAACGAAGTTTAAGGGTGTCCTTATTTGGTCAAAACCCCTCAAGTACTCGACTGAAATTTGTGGCCGCTTATGAAAATGCCCAAACTTTTAAAATCAGAGGCAATTACGAGTTAAACCCTTAATTTCTCGGGGAAAATCATAAAATCGGTAGCTGCCAGCTGGTTTGTGGTAACTAACATCAATAATTTCTCAATTGCATGCACTACAATATAGTTTTGTTAATTTCTTCCGGTGCACACAGCTTTTCTATAGCATTTTCTACAGGTACTGTGCACATTTCCTATATAAACACTATGAGGTTGCTTGGTAGTACGGAGTACCACCAGGTATAATTGGTAGCATGGTATGAATGCAAATTGAACTTTAAGTACGTTCCTTTTACATAGTTTTGTTAGAACTTAGTCGTATCCAACCAAGCTGTAAGATAAAGTTGCTTGTTCGTTTTCTTGTTTAGTGTGATTTACAGACATTCGATTTTGAATGCAAAACGGATCATTAATCGTTCAAATATTTCGTCGCCTACTGTTTTGTTTGTTTGTTTATAGAACCCGTCCCCAATATCGTATTGGAAAATGACTAAACTCAATTCTGAGTGTGAATACAGGTGGTACCTGCAAGTGTATTCATTGAGCATTTAGAGTTCTGTAAAACTGCAGTTACAATTGTGCTATAGTATTTTTAGTAACTTCGATCGATATCTGATATCAGATCTTGATCCCTACATACTTCCAAAATTTAAATCTCCAACTTTCTGCACAATGCACTGGAATGTAAAAAAGAGGGAAAAAAGTGATATAGAAATAAAATCAACGATTCAATTTTAGGAAAGTAAAATAAATTCCCTGGTTTCTTTAGTCAGCTTTAAAGTCGGAAAATCAAAATAAGTAACGTCGATACCGAACCAATTATTGAGCGATGATAGCCTTGTAATTGATTCCTTTCCGTCCATTTCCCATTCGTCATTGATGCTTTGTCAGTGAATGAATCTCCGTCGAGTGTGAGGACGACAAGTGTGTTGCTTACTGTTTTAGAGCCCCTCTACTTAGGGTGCTCCTGAGTTCATCATACGAATCCTAATCATAATCAAGAACATAGCCTTTAACCTCAGCCCATATCTTTTTCGTAGTCTCTAATCGGAGGTATTACCCTACCATGATAATAGTTTTCGCAACCTGTCTATTACCGAAAATCGCCCTTCGGTGAAACCTATCTAACCTAATGATCTATATATTAACATAATTTTAAACTCCACATGTGGACACTAGTCAGAGGTGGGATTGTGTCGAACCAAATTGTAAAACTAGGATATATTGCAGAGTGATGCTGGTGATTTTACTACATGCTACGTTTAAAGATTTGGAACACTGACGACTCATGCCTTCTCAATGAACACTGAATACGAGTTCAAATAGTATATCGGAGAACGGAACAAAAATAATTTGGGTAAGTCTAATTTTAGAGATTGAATCATTGGAAGCAGGAAGAGTCACGAACTCTTCGCAAAACGACATAAAATATGATATGTTATATTAACTTACACGCCATCATGTATTAATATTATGTTATTGTAAGGGTAGTTCTAGATTGAGTTAACTACCAGCCTCTACTAACATGCAGCACTAATATTCCTTTTTTTCTTTAAAATAATATTTTGTGTTTTATGCTGACGTTGGGCAGGACAAAGTAAAAATCCAAGTAAATTTTCGCTGTACAATCAATCACTTGTCCATGAAAAAGAAATATACCCATAAGCAGAACCCGCAGTGAAAATGCTCTGGATAGTGTACTAGGTTAACAAGAATAAAATTGATTTATTGCCATGACACTTTTCCGACCAGCTTTTGTCCTCGGATTGGTATTTATATTTATTTAAATTATCAGTGATCATTGTTTGAAATAATTTCACGGTGAGGGCTCAAATCACAAATAACTTAAAAAATCGATCGATGGATTGTGTAAACAAACCAGTCTAGTATAAATAGTTGTAAATCGTAAAATAAGAACATCTCGAGTGAATCGGGCACTTTTCTAGAAGCATCCTTTTTAAATCAGCTTCCTTCTCAGTTCACTTGTCACCCCAGCGCGCAGCCCTTTGTTTCTCAGATCTAATTTACCTTCCTAGAAGAACTCCTAAAACACTCCCGTTCATCAGCTTGCCCGTATTTATTTTAACTTTCCACGTTTCCAATTTGTGTGGTTACATACTATGCAGTCGACCGAGGGTAGGACATTCTACCGAGACAGAGGTCTCTGTTGATCACTGTATATTATATAATGCAGCTCTTGAATCACCGTTTGATAGTCTAACAAGTGTTAGGTAATATTGTCTTCGTCATATTTCCGTTCAAACAGTAAACTAGTTAACACTTTTGGGAGCATTTTGATCACATTTGTCCACATTAGCATCACCATGCGTGGTAGCGCCGTCCTAGCCAGCAAGCCTTTGCTAGAGTCGTGAGATGCAGCCCAGCTCAAAAAAATATTCAACTTGAGAGATTTCTGTAACAAAACGTGATTCCCAATTGTACTCGTAAAATTGATTCGTAAAGATTGAGGGTCGGAAACAGATGCAAAGTGTATAAATATTATTTGTCGGTTTACTGGAGCAATTGCACGAAAGTGAACCCAGTGCAAACTTCAGAGGCAAGTCAGGATGGTACGATGGTTGCACATCTGGTCATGTTATCCAAATCCGAGGCATCTGGTGATACTGATAGCTGGGTCATGGTGTGCCCAATTATAATATAGTGCTTGTAATTGGTGTGCACCGGACTTGAATTTGGTAGAGTCCTGACTATTTTTTCTGATCCTTTATTGTTTTTACTGTATTTACGACGGCTTAGGATGTATTGCTTCTATATTTCGATGACACGTAACCTTAATTTAACTTCCTGTAGGGCCATTTACGAGATTCGATCAGCACATGGCATCGTCTAGGTGAGCTTATTACACACATAACCGTTTTAATTCAAGTTCGTCAAGAAACAAATTTAATTTGTATCTTTTATACTTTTCCGTCGTCACTTGAACTGATATGTGGCGTGACATCACGTCTCAGATCATGGGTTGTGACGTCACGTCTCATGGGTCATGACGTCATGAAAACACAGTGAAATAACTCAACCTGACCCGTCTTTAAGCATCACGTAATTTCACCCTCAGACAAACCACCGTAATCGGAAACGTGAATGTTGACGAGGATATTGTGGTTGTCTCTAATGACAGAGAACCGCAAGAGGATGGAGCAGTTATCAGTAACCAAAACGTTGTGAGTGAAGACACTGTCGAGAGCTCTCCAGCCCCAACAAAACCTAAAAAGAAGAGAGGCAGGTTTGTGGTCTTTAGTTTGTATCTTAGCTTGGAAAATATTTATCAATCTTGAAATACCAAATAAGCGACTAGAAATCCATTTTTCCTTATCAGTTCCGTTTCTCCTTACGGTTTAAATCCCATGTCAAGGAACTGGCAGGATTCAGGAACAAGGAGCAACAAAACAATAGTTTGGTAGTTATTCTAAATTCTTGTCTTACAGTGACAAACCTTTATTTATAATGAATGTTATCGGGAGCATAAAAATACCAACTTTTCACTTTTTCGGCACCTTTTTCAGCATCAAATCGGCATCCAATTCTTGTATGAAAGTTTACCACCTTCTTGAAATAACTCCACCGTGTAAACTCTAGACACAACAGCATTTTTAAAATTACGAGTTTGAAGACAAAAACCCTTATCAAAAGCATTCATAATGCATATAATAATACAGCTATCAATGGAGCCTTCAAGATGAAGAGCTACCAATTACCATTCGACCAAAGTCTCAATTAAAAATAAGAGTCATCAATGGTAAGGGTATTCAAGGAGGAATAACTATCCTTGGAATGACTTCATGCAACTCAACAAAATGAGGTTTATATCCACCAGATAGGCTTTCGGATAATGAATTAAATCTAATCTTCAATTGTACTGCAATTGGTTGGCTGAAAAATGTTGATATTGACGAGTTCAACATTGCAATAACTGACTCCTAGTCCTAAGCTACTAATTTTAAAGCTAGTTGATTATTTAGATTATATGCTACTCAATTTCCTATTTTACGCAAAATTAGAAAAACTATCATATCAGGAGTCAGGACATAATCGTTTTGAATAGTTGTAATGATTTTGATTGAATATTGAAGAATCATTGATTTGGAACTAGTCATCCCAGATGAGTCGCTTTCAAATTTAAATTCCTTAGAATTATGAATTAATTGCCAGACTATACACCCGGCATTATTATAGATTACGTGAATTCTTCACTGGCGATAATTTGTCGCAAAAGTAGTGAGTTTAAGCTAAATGTCGAACGGCTAAAAAAGATAAACTCTTTAAATTTGTAAGGCCGTCTGGATACCAGATGGCGGAGTCGAATCAATAGATAAAGCGAAAATTTGTAGGCAATAGCTTGTAAACAGTTGTAAATTGCCATGATGTTATACATTTTGTGCTTCAATATTACAAGGTGTCTACTGTCTCATAATGTGTATCAAGCATATCCTGCATTCATTTTTTGAGCTGTTACTTGTTCGATGTTTAAAATGAGCACTATATCATTTCCAAATAAGGTTTATATCCGTATTCTGTAGAAAGAACCTTATATTAGTTAGTTATTAGTTGTTCATACCGATTGTAATGGGGTTCATTAGAGAATTAGAGAACCCGGAGATGTCTCTAAAACGATCAAGGTAATAGAAATTTGTTAGTTTTTCAGTTTTTGGATTTTCCAAACGGGGTTTCAAATATTTTACGTTCTTTAATTTGGTCAGGTAAGGGTCTATTGTAGGGCAAAAGACCCGATATTGAGTATCTATGTAATCGTATTCTGTAGGTTTGAATAATCGTTTAAAATAATATTATTTGGTTTTCGGAGTAACTGATTCACTGAATTTATTTGGTTAAACAGGATATATATTTTATTATCCAGTTAAATTGGAAACCGAATATTTATTGAATTATTTTTTAATTCCGTGATTTTTCTATAAAAATGGCCAAAGACTTCGTATTTTCAATACATCAGTCAGACAGCTGATAGTCTTGCATTCCATGAATCAATAAATAAACTAAGTCGTATGCAGGCCGTCGAAGAAAGTGGCGATACAGCGAGTTAGGGCAATGATACACTACATACGAAAGAATAAGAAACGAAAGGAATATTACCAAAACAAAGATGTTGAGGAAATGAAGCGGGAGCATGCCAAGCTGGAGGAAGAACACACTCACGAAAAGTAAGGGTGATCCCATTTTTTGAAATTCTGACTTGAAACAAATTATTCATCATTAAATTAATAAAACAATTGTTTATTTTTACGGCACAATCAAACAATATCAATTATATATAAATCAGTGGAGGCTTGAAGTTTCAAGTGCCGAAGGCCACTGCTTATCTTTGGATTTGAGAGTGACCTGTGCTTGACACCCCCTCAACCATCCACTACGTCAATATACTACATTATAAAAAATATAGAAAAATATAATAATCTAAAATTACTTATTGGTCTAGTTTGGTGACACAGGAGAGCCCAGTTGATTTTTAGTTTAGGTTTAAGTTTTAAATCATAATTAGAAAGGCTAGGTCGGATGAGGTTTTCGAGACTTTAGTTTGAATGAATTGCATTAAATATGAATTCTTTTCTCTAATCCCCCCCCCTCAGCTGTTTGGTGACGTATATTCAGAGCTTGGTGTTCGGAGGAGTGGACGGTATTATCACATCATTTGCTGTAGTTGCTGCTATTGCAGGTGCTGGGTATAGCACGTATTATATACTTGCTATCGGCATCGCTAACCTCATCGCTGACGGTCTCTCTATGGGTTAGTTATAGTATATATACTATAAATTTTAAATTTCTCTTATATATTACTATATATATATAGTAATATATAAGAGAAATTTAAAATTTGGACACAAAACTTCAAAACACCCTGTACAGTGTACAATGTACACTGTGTACAATGTACAATGTACAGTGTACATATGTGTGGCATCTGAATACTAATAGGTTATTGAGGAATTTTCATTGAAACTTTGAATTATCGATTTATCTGTTGCACTTACAAGTTTTTGCCAGATTTTGAAAAGATTTATTTCCATAAACTGTTTTGTTTTTCAGGTCTTGGGGATTACATGAGTAGTGACAGCGAAATAAAATTCGCAAAAACAGAACTTGCTCGAGAAGAATGGTTAGATGATTTAAGATATTGAGACGATGAGTAATCTGAATTTGTTCGTTTGACAGATGATACGCTTCCCTTTAAGCCTTGCATCAGCCGCGGTACTACGTCATAAAATTAAACGCACAGCGTATTACAACTGATAAGCGTGGATTGGCACAGTATAATCGAAATGATATCGGCCGGGACAGGGCCTTGGTACGTTGTTTAAATATAGCTTGTACCAGATACTCTCTTTCAGGGAGTATGACAACTATCAGCAAGGAGAGGAGGCGGAAATGATCGATATTTTCAAAGCAAGGGGAATGACACAAGAAGATGCTGAAATCGTCATTCGGTGAGCAGCAATTTAGAACTAGAACTTACAAATTCGATATTATAACCGCTTGTAGGGTAGATGACTGCTTAAGAACCATTAACAACCACATGTACTATTTTCAGCCATAACTTTTAACGATGCCAACCATTTTGTAACCCTTACCTGCTTACCGAATTCTTTTATCCAGTACAACAGCAAAGTACAAGGACGTGTTCTGTAATGAGATGATGATACACGAGCTAGGTCTTACCCCACCGGATGATGACGACAGCCCTGTAAAGAATGGTGAGACTTCTTTCCTGTTATCTTAATTATTTTATGTTTGTCGTTTTATTAAACTCTATCACCTTCTGTTAGCCACCGTAATCATCAGGATACACCTGATTAAACCTCTACAAAAAACAATTTTATTTTCGACAGGTTTGGTGACATTTATTGCGTTCATCATCTGTGGAGTAGTCCCGCTCCTCGTTTACATGTTCGTAGATGTTCACAGCAAATCTGGAGACACCAACTTCTACATCTCAATTGGCATGACAGCAGCAGCCCTGTTTCTTCTTGGAGCCATGAAGGTTAGATGTTTTCGTAATAAATTGTAATTTTTAAAACCTATACGTGTTTATATGACAGCTTTAGTTCAAATTAAACCTACAAAAGTGTGGGTTCTTTCCTGCGACATAGATCGATTTGGTCAGATTTAATATCTCACAATTTTGTGAATTGCAACCGTATCTTTCAGTCGCTAGCCTCGTACATATCGTGGTGGAGGTCGGGATTGAGTATCATGATTCTGGGGTGTATAGCAGCTGCTTCCGCCTACGGTATCTCAGCACTTGCTGAGTTTGCTGTCGAGTCACACAAGACGGGAACGTTGAGGATCTGCGATCTTAACTCAACTGGATCCCTTGTCAGTAATACTAATTGAGGAATGGATAATTGACTGAAAACACTGAAGTCTCCTCTTCTTTGTTTAAGATACCACTTTCATAAAGGAGTTCTGCATTCGGACCAAGTTAAATAGAACTGTGAAATATTATCATTATTTACAGATACATTTTCAGCGTCAATGTTTTAAGAAAAGTCAAGGTTTTGTTAAAATTCAGCATTATCTTTGATCTTGCATGCTGAAGCGATTTTAGGATGTTATATTATATATAAATCACATATTCAGTGACCCAAAGATTAAAAATATGTCAGATTTTAACGTTTCAAAAAGTTGAATATTTAACTTGTCTCTTAGAAATTAAAAGTATAATTCGATCTATATAAAATCATCTCTACTTCTGACAGTAAAATGTCTATGATTATAACACATTCTGAACGTCTTATCTCGATCAATATGCAACATCCTACAACTGGCTCCTGATGAAAACATCTTGATATAGTTCCGCAGAAAAGTCCGAACACGACTCTTCGCATTTAAAGACTCGTGTCCGGATAGAAGTCGTGGTACCAGTTCCAAGCCCTTCAGTCCTAGTTGCTCTGAAAGTTTTCAAGATATGTTTAGATCTGGTCTAATTTTCTCTGAACGAAGTTTTACAACAATTGTTATCACATCGGGTTACCGACAACTTAATTTAAGCTCTGTTAGATAACCTTAAATAAAATTCCAGTCATTTTTGATAAGATAACATGAAACCTTACTTAGAAATATGTTTTATTAATGGATTCCCACGGATAAGATTGGTTTCCCTGTCTTGCGTGACCATGCCCGCTATCTACACACTAATACCGGATGTAAGTAAAGCCACCATGGTATTGATACTGATAACTGGAGCTTAGAATAAATCCAACAAATTCAATAACTGCCCCCTTAAATGATGTCAATTAAACAATGTCACTCAAATAGTGTCACTTAAATAATGTTACTTAAACAATGTCACTAAAATAGTGTCACTTAAATAATGTCAATTAAACAATGTCACTCAAATAGTGTCACTTAAATAATGTCACTTAAATAATGTCACTTAAATAGTGTCACTTAAATAGTGTCACTAAAATAATGTCACTTAACGTCTCCGATTTGTTCCCCATCGGTATTTATACAATGTATATTGTATAAGTGACCATTTGTAATATGGCCACATGTTCTCTGCAACCTATTACCACACGAGATCAGAAGAAGCAAGGAAATCTTATCAGCATGATATGTTTCATCTAGTTTTAAAGTCTTCACGAGTGTTGACTACACTTAGTCTTGCTTTAACATTAACAATTCTAAGATTACAGAGCTCCCAGGCTGGTCAAGTTAAGACAGAAATCATATTTCTTCCGTATTCTTCCTTTTCAACATACTGACATTTGACAACTCAGTAAGTCAGTAAAGTGGACCTATGAGGATATTTATCCAAAAAGATTTGCAATGATATCTTGATGCAATAAATACAATTTCAAAAACTTCACAAACCTCCTATAAATTAACTATTCGACTCTCGAGCTAAATAAATAACACATAACAATGAGGCTGTTTGTACAATGTACATTAATTAAGTTACCACATAACTGTAAGTTATTACATATTATAACCATTATTGATAATATTACAAATATCAATATAAACATGTTGCATGAGTCCACAAACATCATAAACCGGAGAATATTCTGGAAACTCGACCTGCTCTGAATGCTTGCCCACTTCCAAAATTCCAATGTGGGCTTTAACCTCCTAATTTCTGTCAACCTCAATTTCAATAGATCACGTTTCAGTACAAGTTAAGGATAATTCTCCTTTCCTTGCCAATAGAAAACATCACGTACAGTACATGGAATGTATAATTGTATTAAAACTACAAGCTTCTATCAAATTAAGCTTGTGTACGCAGTTGTACACGGCACCTTCATAAACGTTACGTGTTAAAAACATGCACTCATAGTTTCTACTTTCGAATGATAAAATGTAACAGATTATCACATTTGCCAGTTTTCTAGAAGATTTTGTTATGTTAGTTTGACCAGTCTCATTAATCCATATAAATATTCATACGCTTGTAAGTGAGCCGCGGACAGTGTGGTACCTACTGTTACTGTTTTTATTAAGGAGCAGTACCAAATCATTAGCTGAAAAGTTGATATCACAACTATATAGTATATACCCATTATTATTATTATGTAACCACTACGTAGCCACACCCGCAAGGAAATGTTGTAACAAATAGTACTGGAGACGACTGGGCGACAGTGTTAACACGTCACACGAGTGATCCTAAATACTGCACAGCTCGACCAGCTATTTTACTTCCTAGGGACACAGTCGGCCAGATCACACACCAAGGCCCGGTATTAATAACATCCCCCCGTCCTTTCACTCTTTTCTTCGCGACATTTGCTTCTGTGGCATGTTCCTTTCTCTGTTTGTTCTATGTGATACTGTACGCGATAGCAGATGTGTCATACCGTAGATCATTCTACGCTGTTCCCCGAGATCCTTGTTTTTCAAAGAAGCTAAGGAATATTTGTTCCTTGAAATTAGTTCTCGTTTGTGACTTGTCGATATGCCTTCATCAGCTGGGAGGAGACGCATGAGGTCGAACAAGAGGGACGGAGAAAGGAGCAGAAACCTGGCTAAAAGGATAGAAAACAATCGTCAATTGGTGAAAACAACTGGAGACCCTTATGATGATACTCTGAAACTAACCCTATCTTTTGTCAATAAACTGAACATACCGTCTTTCCGGGGTACTACCATATCCGATAAAAAAAAGAAAGACGATGAAGTCAGAACAAATGTTGAAGATGAACCCGCTACAGCTAATTCTGTGTCAATTCGTGAAGGTGGCTCTGGGATTGATTCCATGGTAAAATCACCAAAAACACAACCCTATACAAACCATCTAACCGATTCAAAGGTTGAGATGAGGTGTCAAAAAGGGGAAGAAGTCTCCAAGAAGTCTAGCAAAAATGTCCGGAACCCTTTTGTAAGACTGATATCCTGGGCCCGTGGTAGCCACTCGTGCAGGAGGAGGGACTGTGGTCGTTGCAACCTGATCAGCAAAGATTATTTGACCAATACGTAATTATATTGGGGCAATTAATTGCAGAACGTTATTTAATTGATTGACCTCCACCTTTCAAAATTGATCGGCTGGCCGAGAATATTTTTCAGCACGAGAAAAAGTAATAACCTGAGTTATAACTAATTTATTTGTATTAAAATTATTATTGCAATTTATTGTTGCAAATTTATCTGTTTATGGCGCATTTATATGACTCGGAAGTCGGAATACAGTATAATTACACACTGAGAATACTGCGAATTTCTAATAATTTTATTATTTCTGTACGATCTATACAGTATACATGTGTTTGTAACATTGGTAACATTATTAACGAAAATATTCAACTAGTTTTCAGATCATTTGTTTTTAAACATATTGCTTGTAATAAGATCCGAACTCGAGTTAGAAATTAAATTTCCTTATCTCTGAAGCCGGTCAGAATAAGATTAATATCACAGATTTGGTTTTTAGCTTTGAAATCCAAACCAAACCCCAACACGCTAACCTCAAATGTTCATTTGTTTTTTGAACTGTGTCCAAGTTCTCGATTTCAAATTCGGGGCCGCACTTTTGATAAGAATTCTGCTTATTATAAAATTCTTCATTGTACTATCTGTACTGAACCCTTATCTATCCTCACCTGTATGTCTTCAGGTGAAGCCTTTCAAGAACTGTGGGTCCCACTTGGCCCTACTGATAAAAGATATCTAGTAATAAAAATAATAAACCTTATCTAAATCTGTAAATCGAATTATGATTGAAAATTTTCTCGATTTCAAGATTTTGGTCATCACATATCAAAAGACTCCATACTGTTTTTACTTTATCGTATGACAAGTCGAAAATCGCATGATTATCTTATTTTCTATCCCAAAAACAGATTTGCAGTGTATTTTAAATTATTTAAATTGTCTGCATTCCCTGGGAGTAACGTAAAGCGATCAAGATCCTTGTTTAACGATAGACTCGTCATGATACTGATCACATATTACTTGAACACTTACAAGAAATGAGCTCAACTATCAGTTATCTGTTTACGGGCGACTACTGAACACGCGACAAGTTGTAAAGTTTTTAATAGTCGAAACGATTTCCGGGCCAGCTGTTAAATTTAAAAATGCTCTCGTTTAGTATTGAATATATTGAGAATCATCAAAGAGCTGTACTCATAATTGTGCCCTGTCACTTGCCGAAATATTACACAAAATACGAGCCAGTTGTCGCTGGTTTATGAATTATCAAGCTTAAGTTGTAATTACAAGTATTCTGATTGTTTTCTAGGCTAACTTTAAGTCGATCTACATCATCAGCCTCTAGCCTGGTGGTACTTAACAATGATACTTGGTACCTAGTTACTAGTACAAATAAAATTGGTAACAATTAGTCTTATCGGCTTCAATAGTAACATCTAGTCTTCATCTTATCGGCTTACACTTTCCGGGCTATGTCTTGAGAGGTAAAAGGAAAAGCAAAAGCCCGGAATTGCTTTTACTTTAGGCCGGACATTTTTAATCATCCTAAATTTGACGACGAAATTCTACAAGAATAGACCGAAATATACTCTTCGCGTTTTCGGTTTTAGTCAATTGTATAACCTCAAACCTGGAGATTTGACTCGCGAGTAATGAGTGTGGAGTATATATCCCTGCATATTTAGCATACAGACATTTTAAATTCTGAGCAGATACATCCATTCTATAGTGCGGAACCAGTAGCACTCATAGCTGATAGATGTCTGGAATAACTATCAGTATCTTAACCTGATCAGCTATAAAGATCAAATTGTTACTACTACTAGAAATGTGTGTAATACAAATTGAAAAATGTTGTACCACGAAAGTTATCTAAAAGTGTGAGTAAAATAATCCCACCGTAAAGCATGTGATTACGTTAAGATGCTGCTCCCCAATTCCACCCCCCCTCTCATGGTGACGGAGTTCTCGAGAAGGCCCGTACGTTGACGTACAGCTCGGCCCAATCGTGTTTTATCATTCTGCACGGTGGATTTGTATTATTCTTACCTTAAGGTAGCTTTTTTGTATTTAGCATATGCCATCACTCGACTTGTATAATTATTGATAAGATAACAAATCTGCCTCCTTCGAATTTTACAGCCTTGAAGCTACTTGGGACCGCTTGGAATTACTCCATCTGCATTTTCCCAATTACTCTCAGTGTCTCATCCAAGCACCTTAAACAATTTCTAACTGGCTGCATTTTCTTTGCAGTTTCAGCATACTTCGGATAAGTCCTATTATTAAATCAGCAGCACTGTTATGTAGCCGTATAATTTGTTATCTTATCTCATAATCAAATTTCAATCGATAACATGCGTCGGAAAGATTACTGACTTTTAGTGCTTGGTGGGAATGACATAACCAATAATTTTGAAGTTATGACCAGTTGTTAATATTCTAATTGCAGATGATCAAGATTCAACTGCAATTAAATGTAACCAAAACTGTTTAACAAAAGATCGCTTTCGTAATACTTCAGTTGTTGGCTCAAACTTATACTTATAGATCGTATTTATTCGAGTTTGAAACTGCTATGGTTCAATCAGTGTTTACTCGAATCACCTGCATGTCATTATCCTTATGTGACGTCACGTTTAACGTTACGTTTACCAAAACTTTGCGTTACCCTGAGGAGATCCCAGATCTCCATTTCCAGTCCACGTTCTCGACGATTTGTTGTATAGTTTAAGTTTACTAAATCGCAGGATCAGCAAAGACATATACTGTAAATATGAAGACCGATTTCAAATCTCCTTTGTTGCCAACTAAAGCCAGTAGTAGTGACTACGGGTCTCTACCGCCGTCAGACTACTCAAAAACTAGAGATACAGGCTACATTTTGGTGAGTCTTCTGTATTTGTTGATATAAGTCGCACTCGGACAGAATTAGATACTCAAACAATCAAGCTTAAATAAAACAAACTCCCCATTTGAAAACTTAAATTTAGGATAATCAGAAACCTGTTTTAACTGCTAAATTTTAAAATAGGTAATTTTACCTTTTATTCGTTACCAATGCAATGCACCAATCTGTGACAAGTGTAACAGTTCCACTTTGCAGGCGGGAAAATGTTCTACATTTGTAGAGAAGGCCCCTACCACCAACAAAGCCCGAAACCAGCTGATCGTTGCCGCTGTAATCTGCCTCTTCTTCACCACTGCAGAGGCTCTTGGCAAGTTACTCACGATAAATATCTCATTGATAAAACAATTGAACCTGCAATTATAATTCTCAACAAAACATATTCAATTTAGAACATTCAAGATTCAGCATATCACTTTCAAATTTATTTTGCTGTACATGCCGATGATTACAAAAATGCAAGGTCTTAATCAATAATCTACCTTATTTTTCAGGCGGATACTTTTCAAACTCGCTGGCGATCTTCACAGACGCTTCCCACATGATGATAGATTTTATCGGGTATGCCATTTCCCTGACTGCTATCTGGATCGCTAAACGCCCTGCTACAAGAAAAATGACATTTGGATGGTACCGGGCAGGTTTGCAAATCATGAATGATTCTCTGAAGTATTAATAAAACAAATATTTAATAAAACAAATATTTATTTTTACGGCACAATCAAACAATATCAATAATAAATAAATCAGGGGAGGTTTGAAGAGGTTTCAAGTGCCGAAGGCCACTGCTTATCTTTAGGATTTGAGAGTGACCTGTGCTTGAAACCGCCTCAACCATCCACTACGTCAATATTATACTTATTATACAAATATAGAAAAATATAATAATCTAAAATTACTTATTGGTTTAGTTTGGTGACAAAGGAGAGCCCAGTTATGTTTTAGTTTAGCTTTAGGTTTTGAATCACAGTTTAAAAGGTTAGCCATGTTTCATGGCAGAGAGAGATATCATGTGTGCATAGCCGTACCGGATGTAGAGTTTGAGATATAATATAGATTAGTTACCATGTATTAGGGTCATCTCGGTTTTGGAGGGATAGCAAGTGCTTTTTAAGGTTAGATTTAATAACACCTGACGAAGCTGATAAGTCTGAATTCTTGGAAGAACCCGGGATTATTATCCCATCTACATTAGCATCACATATGTCGAATACATAGGGGCTGAGCACATTCCAAATTTTCGTAGAGGTGTACAAAAAGTTCTGTTGGGAGATATCTAACCTCAGTAATGGGACAATCAGACGAAGTTTTTCATTTCTAGGACAGAACTTGGAAAGATCTTTAATCGACTGGGGGACATCAAATTTAAGAATTTTGAATAGTTCCATAAATGTATGGTACATGTGCAGATTCTCCAGGTTCATAATTTTCTGCTCGGTGAATAGCGGTTTATTGTAAATGGTGATTGTTATGGGTCTACCATGGAATTTCTATGTTCTAGTTGACTGACATAGTATATACAAATCTTCATATCGGTTTCTGAATTGACAGATCCTAACGTTGAATAAACAAAGTGTTGTTCCAGAGGTTATCGGAGCCTTGATGTCAGTGTTCACGATTTGGGTGGTAACCGGAATACTCCTCTACCTCGCTGTACTCCGGATTATCAATCCGGACTACGAGCTCGATGCTAATCCCATGCTTATCACTGCTTGCTTGGGAGTGTTTGTCAACATTATGTGAGCCGAGTTTTTTTTTTCTTTCTTCACTTATTCAGTAAAGTAATGCATAATGACTGGATAACGACCAAGCTAACGTATGATAACGCATAAAAATGTTGTGATACAGCATTGTATTTGAAAATTTGTAAAGTTTGTGTGTAAGTCGCACTAATAAGATTAACAAGATACCGACGTATTTACTAGTAGAAATATTTTCAGAATGGGAATCGTTTTGCTGCCAGACAATCTCTGGAAAAAGGATGAAGAAGGCGTTGAAAAAGTAAGAAACATGATATTTATAGTTTTACGGGTTTGACTCATGCCTCACCCGTCTTTCCAGGACGCACAACGTTAATTGACAAAACATCAATCATTCCAAAATAAAACAATAAGAAGCCTATTTACATGCCATATTAGAGATATGATAATGATAAATAGATTAGCATTACTAAAATTCTAATCCGTACCTCAGGAAAAAGTGAACATCAATGTTAGGGCAGCTTTTATCCACGTATTGGGGGACTTGGTTCAAAGTTTAGGGGTCGTTGTTGGTTCTCTCATCATCAAATTTAAGGTACGGCCTTAATGCAATGATGTACCGAGTTAATTGTTTATTTGCTTTAACCATTGGGTGGCCAGAAAGAGAAAAAACATGATGCGAATGACTGTTAATCTGCAAATTGTTCTGATCCTATAATTCTTTGCAGCCTGAGTGGAAATTGGCCGATCCCATTTGTACTTTCGTGTTTGCTATTTTAGTTCTCATCACTACCATCAACATCCTCAAAGATGCTCTGTCTGTACTCATGGAAGGTAAATAATACTAATCTTAATTCTTATATTTCAAACAACTATAGATCTGGATACTGTGAACCGTGAACCATTTTTATTTTGAAACTTGACAGCGATATTGGATTTTGATTGGTCAATCCTGGAATCTGATCGGTTAATCGCTATATATCACGTATTTAAAAAAATATGGTTTATCTCCTCATTAGTTCGAGCAATACTAACATTACAACTGTACGGCACAATATACTAAAGATCATGAGACATGACGTGCTGATAACTATGGCACAATTCGATGATGACGCTGTTTGTATGATGACCATTTCACCATCAATGTAATTGGAACACGATTTATTGTCATCTGTACAAGGTCCCTGACTAAAAACTCCGGGTTTCAGGCACACCTGAAGAAGTGGAGAAGGAGCAGATGATGGAGGATTTAGTTAAAATATCAGGAGTGGCAGGTGTTCACAGTCTTCACGTTTGGAGTCTCACTATGGATAAAAACGTTATCAGTGTGCATCTTAACGTCGGTCAGTGTTCGATGACTGATCATATCAGTAATCATTGTGTTATCCCCAGACTATGCTCATAGTTACAAGTAGTTCATTTCAAATAAATCGGACCGATTAGAAATTTAATGCATAATAATTACGCTAGTGATCTTATACATACATTATACTATATCGCTAATCAAATATTTAGTACACTCCAAGAAACTTCATTAACATCTATTCAATTTTTTAAATTTCAGAAGAAGATCAGTGTGGCAGGTACTCAGATATCCTACAAAACGCAAAGACTGTTATCTCCAAGCACTCAGATTTCCACGAGATGACCGTCCAGTTGGAACCTCCTTCCTCCATCACCTCCAGCTCTTGTCCCAAAAAAGTGGCCCCGAAGTCCGTTTGTTCGGATAACTCGCTTGTATGTTACCAAAGTTCTGAGGTTTTATCGCAATGAAATCAATACGTTGCTGCTTGCAGTGTCGAGTGCAACAGGGGGAACTGGCAATAAGTGTCCTTGATTCTATTTCAACTTTAATCTTTATTGATCGTTCAGCAAATTTTTTAAAATAATTTATTACAAAAATTTGTCGAAGAATTCGTTATGTCTTTGAGAGCATGGATTGTAATTTATTATTAAATGTTATTCTATATTACCATTTATTTTTATTTTATTTGTGATAAATTACTAAAGCAATTTACATGGTCACAAATAATCAACTTAATAACACCAGAATGTGTGTGTGTCTGTGTGTTTGAAATTTCCGAACGGTTATACAAAAAAAAACGGTAAGAGTTACGGGACTGGTTTTTTCGGTATAGTGCCGACAAAACTCTGACGGAGCCAATAAGCAAATTTTATATAAATCGGCCGGTGGTAAGTGGCTTAATTGATGGTTTTGTACTATTAATGCAACATTATGGAGTGAGCCACTAAAATGGCTCACTTTTTCTTCCTATTCGCTCTCTTTGTAGCGTTGGTAATTAGGTTAGCTCCGCAAGTGATATTAGGAGTGTACTTGGGCACTGATTGTGGTCTGTTTAAACTGTAGAGAGAGTTCATACTTTCATACGACAATGTTTATGCATATAATACTATAAGTTTATTAGGGGGGGGGGAGGCACTCATTGCGGTCGGTTTGTTTACTTTCATACGACAATGTAATGCATGTTTTCAAATATAAGGCGAGTGTGGTGCGGAGTTATTAAGGGTTAATTTCTAAAACGATTTAAAGCGGTTTAAGACGGGAGTGATGAGGTGTTATAGTCGTGGTACAGATACTATTGGATACGTGAGGGAACTCCGAATAGAATTGCTCACCTAATGCGGGTTTTGACTCAGCGGGTAATTACTCCTACCCTTTTTAACTGCGGCAGTGAAATCCCGGCCGAAGGCCGGGTTACACTAGTACACCTATAAGTTTGTAAAAACGAGGAAATATTTAAAATAACCTTCTCTCATCATTATATGCGAGCAAATAAGTTACATATAAACATTAAACATGTCCAAGTGCTGCTATATACACTTCAAGGCTCAAGCCCCCGGTTCACGTACTGTAGTGCGACACGTACTCTAGTGCGACACGTACTAGAGAATGCAAGGGGAATTCTTAGCTCCAGCCGTCAGGATAAAGTCCGTGGATAGTCACCAACTGCGTGATCAAGTTAGGCGAGGTGCTGAAGGTACCATTGATGACAAGATGAGCTAAACGACCCATGTTTTCTACAGTGCCGAACAGGAAAGATCTTCTTCCCTCTGCTGAGTAGGCAGAATCCCAAAGAAGGAAGGTTTCGCCATTGTTCGTTCTGATGTAGTCATCAGACATGTTGATGTTGTTCGATGCTTTGGTAGAATCATCGTGACCTTATATATGGCCCAAGCATATGAACTTGTTATCCCAATCGGATATATACCTTCATACGATGCGTGTGATAGGAATGAGGATCATATGCTGCTTACGAGTTACCCAGTGGATCACACAATGCATACGTGGCTTGAACTGACCCGAAGGAATTATGATAGTGGATCACTTCGAAACACGTGATGTGAACCGACGAATCGTATTCGCAAGATCACTTCGAAATAAGTGACGTGAACCGACCCGACGAATCACTTATATTAATGGTCCATAAGAAGGATAGGATGTGACCTGAACTTGGAAATAAGTTAGGATATTTTGTCGCACTAGAGTACGCTACCTGGATCGTAGTGCGACACGTACTGTAGTGCGACAAAGGGTGTTTTTGTCGGACTTCGCACTAGAGTACGTGTCGCACTAGAGTACGTGTCGCACTACAGTCTACAGTACGATTACCGGTGTTGAACTTTATCTTACAACACCGTCCACCGTCCTTTAAACCCGCTTCTGAACTGATAAGAGAATTGTACTTTTATAATTGAAACATAATAACTTATTGGTCATAATTACACTCAATCAACTTAATAACACCAGAATGTGTGTGTGTCTGTGTGTCTGTGTGTCTGTGTGTAATTTCCGAACAGTTATACAAAAAAAACGGTAATAGTTACGGGACTGGTTTTTTCGGTATAGTGCCGACAAAACTCTGATGAAGCCCATAAGAAAATTTTATAAAAATCGGCCGGTGGTATGTGGTTTAATTGATGATTTTGTTCCAGAAATGTGACATAAATGGATGGGAGAGAGAACGAGGAGGATAACATGTACCGTAATTAGTTTAGCCCCACGTAATATCAGAGCTCACTCTTGCGGCCGCTTTGTTTTAACTGTAGGGTGATTTCATACTTTCATAAGACAGCATTATGCGTGATATCAAATATATAATGCGGTTGCCGGTTGTATACTTTTACATTGCAACTGTGACAGTAAATTCCCGGCCGAAGGCACGGGTTACACTAGTATAGATATATAATCAATAATGTGATTGTGTATAATAGTTACAGGGTTTCAAAAGTCTGGCGAGGATGTTCTTGTTGGATAACTTTTAATCTTTTTGTCTAAACTTTATTCTGTAAAATGTTATTGGTAGTTCTAAGGTTTAATGTCAATCATGGTCCACTGGAAGCCTTTGCTGCCGCCTACTAGCTTTTTTTTGTTGGGGACCGGCCCGAAGTACCAGCCAATGTTTACTCAAAAAATAATATATATAATAAGTGTTATCAATTCAAACTCAAAACTCATACAAGATTAGATCTCATTAAAACGATTAAAATGTATATAATATAGCTTTTCGAAACAAAACATAGCTGAGCACATATAAAGTTGTTTTTAGTTGAAATTATCATATTAATATTTAATATGCTTTTAGAGTTGTTAGAGTGGAAACAGGCGCATAGCTACTGCTAGCTAGCTATTCCAAAATTTTAAAAATTTAACGACTGTTATCAGTCGCATAGCGTCATGCCGTTTTTGCTGGCGAATTGATGGCAGTGTAACTGAGATGGTATGCAGTGAAATTGATTCTGTGATGGCTTGCTTATGGGACAGAGTTATTATTAGCATTACGGTTGATGTTGCGCTCTGATTTCCTTAGTCCCGTTATATTGTATAACATAAAGTTAGGCCATTCGTCTGCAATGCCCTCGTTTTGTTGATCAATGAGCATGTTTTTTATGCACCTTTTGTAGATGTTAAGGTTGAATAGACTTGGCAAGGAAGTTGCTGCGACACTATATCTGTTTATTGCTAATAGTGGACCTTTGTAGAATACTGAATTATTGTAAGGGTGTTTACCGTATTCATCTGACCATAAAGTTGTAAGACTCGAATCCGGATCGGCGACGTTAAATATTGGTGCACTGTTAGGTATTGTTTTCTTTATAGAGGGAGGCACTAGACTTGGGAAGTTTTTTAGCTTATGTATAAAAACTAATGCGTTCTTCACGATGATACTTTGAACTGTCAATATTTTGTGTACATAGAAACCAGACTTGGTACTTGCTGGTGGTGTACCATCTTTGTACCAGTAATTAACAAAACCTGGTAGTATTGCTCTAAGACCCATTTTCTGTTTAACAAATAGTGTTTCTATATGGGATTTGGCAGCAAAACCCCAGACGAGGGAGCAGTAATTAAGGTGAGACTGCACAAAGCTGTGACATATTTGTAAACGTGCTTCCAGAGGCAAATATTTTTTAAGTTTGTACATGACTCCAATGTATCTGGCCATTTTCATTTTCATGGCAGAAATATGTTGCGACCAGTTCAGTTTGTTATCTATTATAACACCTAAGAAACGGGCTTCTGTTTTTCTTTCGATTGTGACACCAGAAATTACTACATCGCGATAAATGAGGTTTCTTTGTCGAGAAAAGATCATATAATTCGTTTTTTTAAGATTTAGAGCTAATCCGTTGTTATCTACCCATTTAACTAAGACATCGCTAAGAATTTTGAGCTTATCATAAACCTCGTTTATATTTTCTCCTGTTAGGAAAATGTTTGCATCATCTGCGTACATGATGAAATTAGCTATTTCTGATATTTGAGGAAGATCGTTTATGTAGATTATAAAAAGGAGAGGTCCCAAAATTGAACCTTGGGGTACACCGTAAATAATTGGATTGGCTGAGGATTCAGAGGATCCAATTGATACAAACTGGTTTCTGTTCATAAGATATGATTTAAACCAGTTTAAAGCTAGACCTCTTATGCCATAGTGCTCGAGCTTATTCAGGAGTATGGAGTGATCCACAAGGTCAAAGGCTTTGCTAAAGTCAATCAAGAGGAGCAAAGTAACTTGCTTTTTAGACATTGAATTGAGGATTCTGTCTTTAGCATTAAGAAGTGCATGTTCACAAGACCTACCTGGGCGGAAGCCGTATTGATTTTCACAAAGTATATTGTAGGTATCCAAGAAATTTATGACTCGATTGTGCATAAGCTTTTCGTAGACTTTTGAGAAAGTGGCAAGTAGAGATATCGGTCTGTAATTTTTGATGTCAGTTTTAGATCCACCTTTATGTACAGGAACTACTTTTGCCGTTTTCAAGGCTTGGGGAAAGACCCCTTGTTCGAACGAGCTGTTAACAACGTGGGCCAATACAGTGGTAAAATTATGACAGCTGTTGGCAATTTTGAGTGGTTGGATTTTGGTGTCAAGAGTAGCTTTATTCTTAAATATGTTAATAACGTCTTGAACTTCGGTAGTTGTGACTGGTTTTATGTAGATACTATTTGGAGAAGGGTTACGTAGTGTCCCCTGGGCCCCACCAGGATCGAAAGTGGTCCTACTACTAATTTCAGATTTAATTTTTGGAGCGATGTTTGAGAAGTGATCATTAAATTTTTCTGCTACTGCTGCCGGAGTGCTGACTTGTCCGTTTTCGTCCGACAGTTTTATCGATGTAGGTTTGGCTGGTTTCCTATTCAGAAGTCCGTTAATCATCTGCCACTGCTTCTTAGAATTATCTTTGTGTTGTTCAAAGAATTTTTTGTAGTGTATGTTTTTGGCTTTGTCAACGTGTTTGGTGCAAAACTTTTTCAAACGGTCATATTTTAGCTGGTTCCTATCAACTGGTTCCTTAACAAAATCATGATATGCCTGATTTTTACGTTCTATAGCTTCTTCAAGCCAGGGCAGTATCCATGGTTTGGGATTAACACGTTCATTTTGTCTGCGCTCGGACTGTCTTTTTGTCGGGTAGGCAGCGTTATAAATCCTGTTGTAAGCCGAATT